TGGGGAGGGATGTATGGATGGGATAATTGATGTTGGGATTGTTGTTGATTGGAGAACTTCTAAGTTGTCATCATCCTCATTTGTATGTGTGTGTGAGGATGATATTCTCATAATCACTAAATGGTTCTAAATATGCTGAAGAAATTCCTAAAATTTCATTTTCGTGTAAAGAAGAAGGTAATGGTGTTGTTTGTGGTTACATGGGTGAGAAAGGGAAAAACATTTGATGTACATGGACCAATTAGAAGTAGGTGTATGATTGCACATCAACTTCTCATTTCCCTAAATAGGTATTATTTAAATCAAATGTTTGTGTTTTGAGTTGTGATTGTGAGTGATGGTCAATGGCAGAGCTTCTTAGGAAGTGATGGGGTCATGACCCCCTAAAGTTTTATAAGTTACATTAATATTTATGATTTTGCCCCTAAACTTAATTATTATTAAATGTTTGTTTGTATATTTACAAATTTGACTTCTCACCCTTTGATGTTCTTTTATTTTTTATATTTATTTTTTATTTATTCATAATATATTATTTATGCTCTTCAAGATCAACAGTCAAGATTTGTCATTGGTGATGGTTTTGGTGTTGGTTAAGAACAAAAAGATTACCTATATGATAGGTTATGCATATCTAAATTTCAATCAATATTTTACATTTTTATGTCGATTAACTCTTCTAAATCTTCGTCGTCTAGAAGCGCAGTTGCACTATAATACATATCTGAACCACAAACTTAGATGGAATATCTGTACGTGATAGTTAAAACTTGTTTATGGGGAGATTAACCTTGTAGAACTATTTATTTGAAATGTTCAAACGTCATTTCTCTATAAATACCTATCATGATGACATTGCCAATGCGTAAAAAAACATGTATGAAAGCATGTAACAATCTCATCATAATGCTCAAATGGAAGAACCATAAGAAAGGAAAAAGTAATAAAATTCATATTAAAGATACAATTATATATATATATATATATATATATATATATATATATATATATATATATATATGTATATTAGATATAAAAAATGATTTAATATAATTAAAATTTTAAAAATTGATAAATTGTTTAATAATAACAATTTAAGGAGTCTGTTAAAAAAATAAATTAGTTATTATATTAAAATATGATTTAATAAAACATTATTATAAGTTAAAGTTTGAAATTAATATTGATATATATTCTCAGTTATTGTTGTTAAATATAAAAATAATTTCTTTAATATATTCAAATATTCAATTGAAAAGTCAAAATTATTATTAGTTAAAAATACTTAAACGTTATTAACATAAAACTTTAAAGTATTTCTTTAAATTTATGTCAACATAAAATTATTCAAAATTAATATTAATTTTAATTACTAACTTGATAATTTAAGTTATTTATAACCATTTTAATGTTTTGTCTCAATTATTGAATTAGTAATCTTTTCATTAATGTAAAAAAAAGTGTTTATTTATTTGTTATTATTATTATTATTATTGATCAAAATTATTAGAAAAATGGATAAACATTATAAATATATTGTAAACGTTCAACTTTATATAATTACTTTTCTTAATATTAAAATTATTATTATTAAATTCGTAACTTATTAACAATAGTTAAAATATTAATAATAAATTTATAATAGTCAAATAGTATTTATTTTAAATAATAATAATAGTAGTAAAATATTTACAAATTATTACTTAGAATTTTATGGTCAAAATTGATACTAATATTATATAATATTTTATATTCTTATTTCCATAAATAATATCTGTTGAATTATAATAAAATGTTTTTGTTTTAATTAATGATGATCATTTTATAAAATCATAGTTTAATTCAATATAATTTAACTAAATAATTAATTAGTTATTTCTATCAAATAATTTTTTTAAATTTTCATTTTAATTTTAGTTTTATTAAATCAACAATAATACTTATTAATGATAATCAATTTTAAGTTTAATATAAACTAATAATAAAAATTCAATTAATTAATTAATATCACAAAAAAAATTAATATAATATACATATATTTAATACTTATGATATATATATTTTCTTTTTATTTTAGAAAATATCTTTAAGTATCTTTTTAAAACCTTTTAAAAATATAAAAATATAAGTCAAAATTTAGATATCAAATAACCAAATTTTATACTCTATTTTTACATTCAACCATTTACATTGACCTAAAACTAAAAATGTAATTAATATATATATATATATATATATATATATATATATATATATTTAATCATATTGTTGAAATATAAAACATTATTTTTTATCTTAAAGAATTTACATATATTCTCAAAATATAAATAAAAGTTATATTTCATCATCTTAACCTTGTTAGAATTTTTCTTTAAAAACATAAGTTACCACGTAAAAGGAATGATTATCGTAGTCATTATACACTATTAAATACTAAGACAAACTAATTTATAAAAGAAGTTCATTTTTGTAAATACAAAATAGTTCAATACTTATATTATATCTAACATATAACTTACCACAAATACATTTCAATAATCTATTACCACCTCAAATATTTATAAAATGTCAAAATTCATGTTTATATAAGCTCATTAAACTAGACATTTGTTACCTTTTAGAGACACATTTTGAATTATGATATTATTATTTCAAATATCTGCATTATCATACTACCATCCTCCTCAACACATAAAAGAATCTCATCCAACTTATGTGACAATTTTGAAGTATGTAATGAACAATAATATTGAGCAAAACCTTGAAACAAGGAACCATCTTTGGTCTCCCAAAACTATGGGTTTTCAGTTGCTTTACAGTGACATGTGCAACAGGGGTTTTACACATGCAATAATTTCAGAAAAAGTACTGCAACACTTTTTTCTTGAGATCATAATCCGACAATTTAAACTAGAAAAAAAGAGAAAATTTCATATATCTGTTCTTTGATTTGATTGTCGGCAAATAGGATGAGTAACACATGCGTGGTCGACAAGTACCTCTCAGCATCAACCTGAACATTCAAAATAAAACACTCTTTTGTTTTACCAAAAATTGTACACTCTGGAACATTGGACCCTTTTCTTTGTGCAATATTTGGGACACAGCATTTCACTCAACCTCGTCTTTGTTGAGTGATAACAAGTATATATCAGTACACATAGAGTTTATCTTTCAATGGAGATTGCAAACTGTTTGGAGATACCAAACTATTCAGCTATTTGACTAAAACAGTGTAAAATCATACCGAATAAATTAGAGTATACAGTAAAAAAATAACCTTTTTCTTTATAATATGTTTAGATAAGTTAAACAACAACCAAACCAATCATGATTAGATTGTCTAGATCATAAGTGAACATTTTCATTTTTGTTATAATTAAAACGTTGAAAAATGAAACGAAGCACGCATATAACAGTTGGATTCTTACTCGAGAAGAGTAAGAAAAGAAAGAATAAAGAAGAGGGTGAGACATGTGAGGACATGATTTGGAAATGAAAAAGTAAGAAAAAGGGGTTGTTGGTGGTTATGCTTTCACGCGACGTTTAATATATCATGTCATGCATGTCAAAGAAAGCATGGGAAAAGCGAATAACACGCTGCTTATCCTTTACACTACTGCCACAGACCAAAATACAACACCGGAGCAAACAAAGAGAGAGTCTAGGGCAAGCACAACATGCCAATAAATAATGTATCTTATCCTCTTCAATAGCGATACCTACCTTTGGATTTTCTAAATTTCTTATCGGAAAGTCAAGATTATTTCTTGCAATCTCAATGTCAAAGTTGTTTTTTTCAGGATAATAAAAACTTTAATTTTTCATTTACTACCTTCTTCAATTAATATATCAGACGATTTGGAAGAGAATATAGCATTGCCTTATGCAATCATAAAGAAGATCCAAACCCATAAAATATATAATGGGGTAGGCATAGAGTGCCCAACTCATTTATTGGTGAGCCATTTATGTCATGCCAACTCACCTGTGATTATTCCCAACTACTGAACATCATCAAAAAGCTAATAAAGCACAGAAACCAACCTCGGGATATCTTACAAATCCTCCATTTCTCCTCAGATGCCTAGACAAATCCAGCTTTCATATTTGTGCGTGGAAGCTAACTTCTAGCTGCATCTATCTCTGCCCACAATATTTTTAAGGAAAAAATATGTGCTTTTCATCTGTGTACTCTTGGTTGATAATGATCAAATTTCTTGTACTTTTACACTTATGAATTTGATCCTCAAGTGTTACAAAACATGTGACTTAAGTTTCTGCTAACTTTAAAAAACATGATAATTCATAGAAGACAAGAACCTAAATCTACATGTTTTTCACGAATATAGAAGAACTAAAAACACTTTCTTTTTCATTTTTTCACTGCAATGTTGCTTTGTATTTAGTAATCAGCAATCACAAAGCTACAAATCCCGGCCAATTTTCTCACAATAATCGTACAAAGTAGATAGTACAAGGCCTAATTTGGATTTGAGTGTTACCAGAAAGCAAAGTTATAATATTTCAAGCTAATTTGGTCTCTTTAACACAGTATCCTGAAATTTTCTGTTTCTTGTTAACACTGCATATCACTGTTGAAAATTATGCTGCTGGATCAGATTGAGAACCCTGATTAGATTCAGCATCTAAAAAGCACAAGGTTGAGAAATCAATGTTAAGTAGTAAATACTCTTTATTGCCCTCAAACACAACATGTCCCTCTCATTTCCTGTATTTTACACATTGAACATTTCTATTTTCTACTTCTACATCAGCAGTTAACATAGATAAATTTCAATAAAGCGAAGCTCAAAAATCTAGAAATGAAGACCCTCTCTGTTCACTGAAGAAAGCAACCACTATAGAATAAAAGAATAAACAACGCAACCATTTCATTTTTTTTCCATTGCCACACAATTGAAGATATTCAACAGAACAGAACGATGGAGCAGAAGAGAAAATTGCTTCTCTGCCCATCTTTGGTTGGTTACACAACTCTAACAGCCTATATGTCCAACTTTGACCGACTCATGTCGAAGCTTTACTGAACTGTTATGGTGGAGGAGGGAGAAGCATTAATTACAGAAGATGGAGGAAGGCAATGTCTTTGGCTACTAGACAATGGAGAATTGGGTGAAGCCTCGTACCTGCTGGACTGGTTTCTCATTTTCTTCTTCTCTCCATCTCGAACCCTCTCCAACGTAACTTGGCGAACCTTTGTTTCGTTTAGGCTGGGCGGAAGAACACAGTTGCAAAGAAAACCTTCATATTCAGAAGCAAAACTTACCATTAGAATAAAGAAAAATGTTTCTTCCTTTTCACAAGATGCAGTATTGGAACTTAAGAAACTTGCATGGCTACTTTTGACAAAACAAATATATATTAAATGAAAAAAACTGCACTGAAATAAATTTATCAAAAGCCTGAGCTTATACATATTTGCAAAACATCTCACATGTCACCCTGATGCAAGGAGCTAACGATTCTCAATTAAATGCATGATATTTGATATTTCAAGTTATTGATCATCGACCCAGTAAGGAATTCAGACCTCTTATTCATATGAAACAATAAGTCAAGAAAGTAATTAGAACCTAAAAACATAAATTAAAAAAAAAAAAACATTAATCTGAAATATAACACTCAAATTTTAACAGTCATAGCTATATAACTACATACTGGTCGGTGATGGTCGTTATGTGAAAAGCAAAAGCAAATCCTCTTGTCAAGAGCTTATATCACTTCAAGGTTTTGAAAAAAGGTGAAGAGGGTTTGTGTCATTCTAGACTCTGGAGGGGAGGTAACATACTGATCCCTCAAAACAAAATCTTTATCTGTTATCAGAGGATTCAAGACCAAATTTCCTTTGGTCCCTATTGTTATAACTTATTGGAAACCTAATAAACACCTGACTAACTCATACAAACATGATCAAGAAAGCAACTAGCCACAACAAACTTTCCTTTACCCCTTACCAATTCTTGCAAGTCGATTCACCCAACGAGGGATAGACTTCCCCGTTAGTTTGACACAAACATCATTGCAGAAGTGGTTGCAGTTTTTCTGGATAAGGTGGTAGGTGTTCCCAGAATAATCTTCAGCCATCCTCTCCATTAACGCTCGAACATCCTTCGCCCCCATGTCCGTCGATCCAATTAAAATCGATTTCCTGAAGGTAAATCCAGGACAGAATCTAGGCTCCACTTCAAAAATCCCTGTCGTGTCACGGTCATGAGCTCCAAATCCATATTCAACCCCATGAACTACAACAACAACAAAAATACACCACACCACGGTATTGGTACATTAGAATAATCACACACAAATCATAGCAAACCCAACGAAAAAAATCAACATCAACATCAGTGTAGTTTCAGTATTTTCCCCAACTCAAAATCCAGCTCTAACAAAATAAAAAATTGCATTAAAATTGCATTGAAACCAAAATTCAAGCGACCCAATATGCTATATCACTCAATTAATTTCTCGAAAAGATAGATATTTTCATATTATTCAAGATCCTTAATGGCGCCGTTAACAATTTTAAATTAACATTCGCAGCACATTTAAAATTCCATTGAAAAAATTTAACTTTTATAATCACTGACAAATTCCACGGATCTGAAATTAAAATTGGTAATACCCAACACCCAATTGTGGTTCAATTCCTTTGATGGCAAAGGAAATTGAATTAAAAAAAAAAAACACGGTAACAGGGTCGGTTACCTTGAACACCAGAATGGTAAACTCCGAGGCCAAGCCAATAAGCATAGCCGTTAATTGGGGTTAGGTCGTAGACGTTAAGGTAAACCGGGTTCGAACCGGGCTTTTTCTTGCGCGGCATAGGAACGAGTTTACACAACATTACGAATACGATGTTGTTGTTGTTGTGGTTTTTTTTTTTTGTTTTGGTTATGGGATGGGGTAGGGTGTGATGGGGGAATGGAAAATTTTTGAGAAAAATCAAGGGCAAACTGGTAATAGGGAAAACAAGTGGCCCTTGAAATTTTCTCTGGTTCTGGTAATCCTAAATGGTGCTGGTGGTTCTCATATTATGGGTAATGTATTTTCCTTCGCTTTCTTTTTCCGTTCGCTTTCAGAACACGAGAAACGGAGAAGAAGAAGAAGAGGAAGACGAAGAGAATCTTGAAGTGTGTGATTTGGTTCTCTCTCTTAGCTTTTATTCATTTTCTCGTTGCATTATTTACTGTTTCAGGAAAAGCTAATCATCACGAGTGAACCTTCTTTTATTTGTCTTTTAGGATTTTATTACAATATTTGTTTTCTTACTAAAATGTAATGGAATTTTATTAGTAAAGTTTTTGTTTATTCTATAATAAATTTATAAATATATATTAATTAAAAACAGATAAAAAAAAACATCTCTAATATTTTCTTAGTTTTAAAAGGGACAGACCGGTAAATTTAAAAAATTGATATAATAATTGAAGATTTCTCATCAGATTTTTTTCTAGTAAAATATATTATTTTAAGATTTAAAATAAGTAATATTATTTTAAGATTTAAAATAAGTAATATTATTTTAAGATTTAAAATAAGTAATATTATTTTAAAATATTAATTAGTTTCTAAAAGAAAGTTTAATTTTTTTTATAAAACTATAAATTAGTTATGCGTTTCATAAAAAAACTATTTCTTTATATTTGAGATTTTGTTTTTTCTTTTTCTAAAACAGAAAAAACACAGATAATATGATAAAGATATCAGTTAAAGATCCAATATTAAATATTCTAATAATAAGTAAAATGAATCAGCAAAAGTAATTTCTGTTATTCAATATATTGTTTTTAAATTTATTAAGAGGTTGTTTTGTTTTTTCACATGATTCATGAATCTTTCACGTGATTTATGTAATTATGTTGCAGTTAAGTAACCCAATCATTTTGAGTATTTAATATTCAAGAACTGCGTTTATAGATTTTCAAAAATCTAGCAATTAATTTTTTCCAAAAAAAAGAAGAAGTTTTATATTGAGGATTTTTTTATTTTATATATATGGATGCATCAATCTTTCACATGACTTTATCTATAGTGTTTGAGTGAGGAAGTATTAAAATTTATAAGAATTTGTTTCGCTTTTACAAATGCATGAATCTTTCACTTTATTTGATGTAATTGTTAGAGTTTAGTAATACAACTATGTAAAAGGTTTAAAATAAAATATTTGTCCCAACACGAAAAATTATATTTTTACCACTTTTATAAAAATAAATTTATGAAAAAACAATATTTTTAATAATATATCAACATAAAAAGTGAAAAAAAAATCCGAATGACACTTATATTAAGAAGATGAATATGACTTACAAAATTAATAAAAAGATTATTTCGTGAATGAAATAAAATATTAGGTCATATCCAGTCCCAGAAACTCACTTCGATTTTTTTTTGTTGAAAAATGTAAAATAGAAATTTATAATATCACGTCATTTTTAAGTAATTTTTTATTAATTTTACTTTATTAGAAATTTTCTTAATAAATTTTAAATAATTTATTCTCTTTTTTATTTTTTTTCATTTACTTTAATTTTTTATTTTTTAAATTGTATAATGAAGCAACTACTAAAAAATAATTAAGTACTTTGTTACATAAAATTTAAATATTTTTCAAGCATCTCATACTTTATTTAGCATCTCAATAAGTAAATTACATTAAAAATGTCCTAAATCACTTAAAGATAAAATTAAAACTCTCTAATTTTAGAATGATTATATAACATATTTAAGCCTTATAACTTTAATGAATATCTTTTAATTTTTATATTATATATTATTTTTAAGGAAGAGTTTGGTATAGGATTTTATTAAAAAGTGGTGAATATATTTTTGGACATTTTATATTTTATGAAATTTAGTTTAAGTTCTAAGTATGAAAAAAATATATCTAAACACATATTTTTAAAAGTTGAAATGTTGAATTTATCATTTAAAAATATAAAGACTAAAAACAAGTTAAAATAAAAAAAGTTAGATAAAAATAGAGTTATCCCTTTTTGAAATAATTCTTAGAAAAATAATATTCATAACCATGTTTTCTAAAAATAATTAAAAAATAGTTAATTATGAAAATTTATACATTTTTTAAACTTAAATAGTAATTTAGTATTATAAATTTTATTATATATCATTAATTTAACAAAATGGATGTGATACGTTAATTTTTTAATTAAAAATTATATTTTCAATAACATTTACATATATTAATAAAACATTTATTTTGATGTCACTTTTACGAAGTTTTTATATAAGTAACTCATAATATATTTTATTTTTTATCTTTCTTTTAACCATTTTTTTAGTGATAGTATGAATTATATACAAAAGACGAGTACAAGAACATTTACAACATGATAACCATACACCATCGGAATCAAGTCCCATTTTATTAAATTCTACTTTTTCTCTTTCAAGAAATATCTTTAAAACCATTTCATCGAAGATAGAAAATTTATTCTATGTTTCTAAAGAAGCTCAAACCTCTGAAACATATAGTCTTCTTTTAAGTCCTTATAATATTTTTAAAAGACAAAAATTCACCCTTAGATCTATCTCTAGGCTCATCTTCACTAAAAAACCTTATGTTAAATAATACATCCAATCTTCTATAATGGACTAGTGTTTTCTGGCCTCCACCATAGAAGAACAATACGTCAATGTTGAAATTCTCAAAGATCTCATCAGATATTGGCAAAATGAAGGATACACTCACATTCATTATGAAGCTTAAATCTATTCTATGTTTCTAAAGAAGCTCAAATCTCTGAAACATATAGTCTGCATTTAAGTCCCTATAATATTTTTAAAAGACAAAAATTCACCCTTAAATCTATCTCTAGGCTCATCTTCACTAAAAAACCTTATGTTAAAGAATACATCCAATCTTCTATAATGGATCGGTGTTCTCTGGCCTCCACCATAGAAGAACAATACGTCAATGTTGAGATTCTCAAATATCTCATCAAATATTGGCAAAATGAAAGATACACTCACCTTCATTATGAAGTTATCAGATTAGTCCTCTCTTTTCATGGGAGACGTGGACTACCTGTCTCAGCCAGAGTCTCTCTTATAGATTTTAACTATTTTCACTATGAACATAATTAGTACTGTATTAACCACTCTTCATGTCAAAAGTGTAGTACTAACCATTTTTTCAAACTTCAATATTAATTTGAAGGACCTTATCATATCTTAAAAATTGAAGGTTCATATTCAGATTAAAGAGTTGAACAAGTAGCTGATGCATTATCTGCAACCCTTCACCATCAGGTAATTTATAAACTGCAAGATCATGCCATAAATCTTATTTTACCTTCATGCAAAGATGGAGCACTATTCATTTTGGCCAATAATCAAGATGAAACACCTTCCATAGTTCAGATCCCTAAAAATATCTCTCAACAGGAACTACAAAAGCTTATCCTGATGTAATGGGTCCACCAACTATGAAAAGTTTCACACTAATCAAAAACTAATCCAGTTTACTAAAGGCATTTTCAGAAGATCTGTAGATGATACTTTTAAAACCATCTTCAAAAAACCATATTTCAATCAATGATGAGGGTGATGACTATGGAGGAGGATCATGTAAACCTCCTTTCTCTTCTGATGGAAGGATGACTAGACTTCATTGCTAAGAGAAACCAGATCCTCTGTAGAAATCTAAACGATATGTCAAGATCTTTCGAAGAAGAAGGTCTCCTTCTTCCAAGACAAGACAAGTGTAGAACCTTTGTCATGCCTCCTCCTATCCCATACATGATGATTAACCCTACATTATATAAAGAGGATTTTCCTCCTTTTAAAAGGAATATTGATCCAGTATCCAAAACGACAACCAAACCACATGTTTCTGTCAAGAAATTAGACCAGATGGGAAGACAAAACCATTGAGTCAAGATGAGGAAGTATTGAATTAGCAAATTGAAAATGTTAGAGCCCAAAACTTTATCTTACAAAGAATTGACCAGAAGATTGACAAACACTCTACACACCTTAAGGAAACTGATGAGAAACTCCAATATCTCAACTCAAACTTATGAAAGTATTACAAACAACTTTCATCAGAACTTTCCCAGTTAGAAGAAGACTGGAAAAACACCATTTTTAGAGAATTATCTCACGCCAAAGAAAAGGAGATTAGAATACTCAAGACTCATATCCAAGAGATGGATAATTAAATCGAGGCAAAGGTCACACAACAGAAGATTGAGAAGGATGTTTATCCTTCCCTGTTTACTTCAACTCCAATGTACTCCTCTTTCCATAACCCATCTCAATTTTTCCGACAACCTACACAGTTTTCTTGGTCTTTACCTATAGCCACTACCTATAGGCCATGGCCCAAACTAGAAGCACCAAATCCCGACAAGGGCAAAGCAAATAAAACCAACACATCTTCCCAATAATCTGCTCATGAAGTTTTACCTTCATAAAAAGGCAAACTCATCAAGACCCATTTAATCCTTCCTTCCAAGATTCTCAATGTCCATATTCATAAATGACCATAAAACCTCATCCTAATCCAACTCCTAAGAATACTCGTACAATTGTTGAATAATATTTCTCTGAAGATTTAGAAATAGAAGATCCTAGTTATGCAGACTTAACCCAAATTCTAATGACCAACACCTGCAAATCGGATGTCAGACATGAACCTATTTATGATTCTCCTGAAAAAGAAGTCAAGTTTGTTCCAGCTAGAACAAATACCTTTTCAAAACCTAATAGAGGTAATGGAGGATCTTTGTTTACTATTGATGATATTCCTCTAAGTCAGTGGAAAACCCAAACTAATTGAATTTGGAGCTTGGTTAGTTACTAAGATGGTTAAAGATTCTGATT